TATCTTACTCCAAGCACTTGTACCCAATGTCATCCACGCACCCAAAACCTCGAATTCTAAACGCCCACCATGCTCCAGATCTGCTGTAAGTGAGCTCAACAAATGAAAGCCCGACGGCCCAAATCGAAGGGGTGCAATAGGCACAGGCAATTCTCAGGAGACCGTTCGCAAAACCGCCAGGGGAGCAGCCGGAATAAATATGTCTTGCGATCTTAAAGAATGCCTGAAGCATAACGGAGAATACTGTGTCTAGAAACACACTGCAAAATATGCCGGTAAAAACGTGGTCTTGAGCCCCTCGGCGACAGAAGGGTGAGAGCACAAGCCAGCGAGATGCTGTTAATCTGTTCGCATGGGTACGTGCCTGCATCTAGGTTTGTCAGTTTTGGGGTTAAATTCAAGCACTTAATAGTCAGATTGTGCTGGGGAGAAGCCGAGATCTCACGATGGCGTGAGGATAACACTGCACTACACGCAACCTGACAACGGTGCAGGGCGATTAAAGAGCCTCAAATATGCGCGGATATTCTGACAACACACCCCTCCTTTCTTGGATAGTTGTTGAACTTGCAAATGCCGACTTCCTCGCTAAACTTCACTATTACTACAGCCCATGCAGCCAAGTTGATGCATCCACTCTTCTATTTTCTCTCCTTCATCAACTGTGCGAAGAACCTCAGTCTGTGCCTTGAGATGTGGGTGCCATGACTGCACACTGTTATCTAACTCAACCATAGAGGCTTTAAGTTTAATGTGATACATCAAAGATATCACAATTAAAGCAAAATGACATTGAAATCTTGCTAGTTGAACTAGAGTAAGAAAAGAGGTAATTGAAAGAGGTACTACAGTCTTGTATATTTACTTTTCGGCATGACTGACTACACATGATTAAAGCTTAAAATATGAAACATGCCACCCTACAGCAGGCGATAAGCAAAATCGAATAGTCGCAAGATAATCAAACTGAGTATAAGTGGTGGGGCAATGTCACGTGAATGATTCTTATCAAAATTACTTTCAAGCTATCAAGCTTAGGCAATAGCTACTTCTTTAAACATTAATAAGATGAGAAAACTTTTGTGGTAAATAGTAGACTTGGCTTGACAACCCTTTCGCTTCAAAGCATAGTTTGCCAGATTTTTCCTTATAACTTTCGCATGGGCATTCGCATTAGTTAAACCGGAGAGCTGGTAGGTGCAATTGCTCCGGAGTTCCACGGCAACACCACAACACAAACCGTCCTCAAAAGTAATGATGCTGACTAAAAAGCTGGCAAGAAACCTACTGGGTTATCCAATTGTGGCTCGGAGACACGTCAAAGTATTTGATCTTCGCAAAACCTACAGAGTGTGTGATCCAGACTCTTTTCTTTCTGACTAACTGTAGATGAAAGATCCGTCTAAGACCGAAGGATAAGAACTTGACTCAGCCTAAGTCGTTTAAGGCGATATAAGGACTGATTGCTAGCCTCTTCTAAATAGAAATAAATAGACCATACGATGTAATTAAAGTCAGCTTGGCCATCCAAAGGCTCTCTTATTCATGTTGGACTACTCGAGTTTCCACGCCAACCCTAGTGGGATTTTAAGCCGAATTGTGCGCGTTACGCAGCAACGTTGGCTCTCCGTCGCACAGGCACGATCCCAGTGCAAATGTGGTGTCGAAGGCAAGCCAAGTAAAATCGAAAGTGACTGCACCGACTTTGACTCCACAACCAGTTTGGCTAAATCTGTCACGGTTACCTTTCGACTCATGCAGCACCAGGCGGAACATGACTCATCGGTACTGTGTGCCGCTGGGAATAGGAGAACCTCCCCGTTGAACCAATCAGAGCGTGGCATTCAAAGTACTCAAGTCATAAACTCCCTTGCCCTGTCGGTCCCCTGGTGCCGTCGTTACCCTCATTGACCGATCACTGCCCTCTGGCATCAACACCACGCTCCGCCATCGTATCTTCTTCCTACATCGAGATGGTCGCCTGTAGCTTTCCGTTATACATACAAAGCACTCTGTGGCTCGTTTTCTTGTTCCTCTATACAAGCCTGTGGTATTCTACACGGTAGCACGAACCTGAGCACATAGTTGTAGTGAATATGTTACTCACTAAATGACAATAGATTGTATTCCACCAAAATTAAAGCATAAAGTCTTCATTAAAAGGGATTTTATTTTAACGGTCTGAAATAAGCATTCATACATCGATAAAGCACAGCTTTTATGCACGAGAATTTTAGCTTAAAATAAGCTTTCCATCATCAGATAAAAGTCATCAAAAAGTTTAAGGCAAAGTTACTTCTAGCTTCGAAGCATTAGGTTCTTATAACAAACAAGGCCGTCCGTGTGAAAAGCAAGCGGCGATCAAGTGTGTTTCAATTTCTTGAGCTTCACATCCAAGCACCGCAATCACATCATGAAATTCATGCAGGACACAAGAAATAATGTGACTGTAAAGGGTATCAAGGGTCTTCAGTTTGTCAGGTGAAAAGTCGTAAGTCACCCTGCCTACATGTAGCAGCGATTTGTTATATATGCAAACCGATAAATCGACTGCTAAACTTTCCCACAAGACAAAAAATCTATTGACAGCCCAAACCTCATCAAAAGTCTTGCCCAGATTGACTGAAATTTGTTTCAGATTATAATTCATGAAATTGCGTTTGTCAGGGAGGCAATCGTTACTATACTCCCTCTGTTCGTCAAATAAAAGGGCTTCCATTATACTTTCAAGTGTTCTGAGAACCTCTTCTTTCCCACTTCATTGTTGCCATGCCAGCCGGCCCTTAATCAAGAACGCATAATGGAGTTGAGACATTTTCTTTGATGAATGCGGCATGATGTAATGAAATTTTCTTCCCTCCTTTGAAAGTAGGCTAAGTGTTATGTCTTGAGAAGACATGAATGCAAAAGGAATTTCATCA